GTCAGAGCGTCCAAGATCGACCCCTGGGAGGGCTAAAATTCGACACCCCTCACGAGGATCGTGGCTCCTGAGGGGGGGGCTGAAATTTAGGAACCCCCCTTCGTTGATCGATCTCCTCCAAGATGGCTCCGAGAGACGTCTTGGACCCCCTCTTGGGCCCTGCGCGCGGGCGGGCGGAGCGCCGCCCGCCCGCCCGCAAGGCCCAAGAGCCCACCAAAACGTTCGAAAACACTTCCAATACGCCACCAGGGAAGAGGAAGAGGCGGAGGAGGAGGAGGAGGAGGAGGAGGAGGAGGAGAGGGAGGAGGAGGAGAGGAGGAGGAGGAGAAGGCGGAGGAGAAGGAGGAAGAGGGGAGGAGAACAGCTGCCGATCATCGGCGCTCTTCGTTCGAGTGCCTGGTGTAGGATGGGCTGGTGGGGATACGCGAAGCGTCAAGAATTGTGAGGAAGTCTCCGGCGGAAGCCGTTGTTGTTGTAACTCGGGGGCCAGGGGCGCATATTGAGGACGAAGATGTTCCCCCATAGAAAACAGGGTGCGAGCGCCGGGAAAGGTTCTCCAATTGAAAAAACATACAAAGTGCACCGGAAGGGGATCAACAATATCATTCCGTAATGAGAGTTCAGCAACAGCAGCAATCATTCTAAGACTGTTCGCTCTCACTTGCCCGTGTGTCATTCAAAACGAGTTCCCGACACCCGCGATACCCGCCCCTCTTTTGGGGGGATTATTTCTCTTTGCGGGGGGCGGCGGGCTTAGACGGGCGGGCAAACCTGAACGGGCGGACAATCCTTCGTGGACCCACATGTGCCGGCCATTGGAATTGGTGTGGGCCCTGCAAAAAGAAGAGGGGGAGAACGAGGGAGAGCGGGAGGCAGGGAGGGGGAGGGACGAAGGAAGAGAGAAAACGCCAGGAAAGAAGGAACGAAAATGGGGGGCTGATTTGAGACAGAGAGAAAGAGAGAGAGAGAGAGAGAGAGATCAACAAAAAAAACAGATAAGAGAGGTAGAGATAGAGAGAGGGGAGAGAGAGAGAGAGAGGGAGAGAGAATGACAGAAAGAGGCAGGGAGGAGGCAGGATATGACAGGGAGAAGGGAGGAGGGAGAGGGGGGAGAGGGGATGGGCAGAGAGGCATACGGATGAGGGAAGAGAGGAGGGACAGAGAAAGGAGGAGAGGAGGAGAGGAGGGAGGAGGGAGAGGGAGGAGGAGCAAGAAGGTAAAAGCGTGAACGTTCGAGGAAGTCCTAAGCGAAAGCGCCGTTCCTGCAGGAAGTTTCGGGCGGGAGCCCACGACGGGCGGGCGATCCCCTGACGGGGGGGTCGGGCCGGTGGGACATTCTAGCGGGGTGCCTGAGTATGGCGAAAGCGCGATTCCTAAGTAAATTGAAGCGGCGTCCTGGGCGCAGCGTGTTTCCTGAGCGTCGAAAGCGCGATTTCTGCATCAATTGCATGGAAATCACAAGCGAGAGCGCGATTCCATAATAAAATGTGAGGGGTTCTCCGGCTGGAGCGGGGGTCTTGATTAAATTGCAAGGAAGTCTTGATTCAATTGCGGGGAAGTCTTAAGCGGGAGCGCCGTTCCTGTGTAAATTGTGAAGAATCTCGACTGGGCGCTGGGGTCCTGACTAAATTGCGTGGTAGTCACAGGCGGGAACACCGATCATGCGTAAATTGTAAGGAATTCTCAAGCGGAAGGGGGGGTCCTGAGTAAATTTGGAGGAATTCTCAAGCGGAAGCCGTTGTTGATGTAATCCGGGGGGCCAGCAAAAAAACTTTTGTTGTTGTTGCATCAAGACTATCCCTGACAAATAAACAAGGTGCGAACGTGGAGGGCCACCTTTTGATTGAGAAAAACAATATGCACCGATGAGGGGGGATCTACAATACTTATTCTTCAAAAATGAAAATTCAACAACAACAATAACTCTAAGACCGTTCGCCCTTATACGCTCGAGTGTCCAATAACGCGTATTTCCCAAACCCTAGATACCCGCCCTCTTCGTCTTCGATCGAACCCCTTTCGGGGGGTATACATTTCTTCTCTGCAGGCCGGGCCCCGGCAAGCGGCGGGGCGGCCGCGGACCGTCGGCCTGGCCAGCGGCAGCGCTGATCGGCGGGGCGGCCGCGGACCGTCGACCCGACCCCAAGAGGGACGGACAGGGGACCGACCACGACGACGACGAAGACGACGAGGACGACGACGACGACGACGTCGAAGACGACGGCGACGACGAGCGAAAGCGAGAGCGAGAGAGAACGACAGCAGGGCCACGAAGGGAATGCGTATGGGGCCACGAAGAGCGCGAACGAGCGGAGGCCACGAAGTGCAGATAATGCGGGGCCACAGAAGGCAACTATGGGGCAACTGAGGGTAGCAACTGGGCCACGTAGGACAGTGAGAGGGACACCAAGGGCGACAGCGGGGCCACGAAGGGCATGCGCATGGGGCCACAACGGTCGCGACTCCTGGGTGCCTGGGTGTCGGGAGCGCTGCGCTTAGGCAAATTGCAAGAAATTCCATCGCAAGGCCAATCTTCAATAAGTTGCAAGCAAGTCTCCAGCGAAAGCGCGACTCCAGAGCGCTGGGAGAGCGATTCCTGCATAAATTGTAAGGAAGCCCCAAGCGAGAGCACGATTCCAGAATAACATGCGAGGAAGTCTCGGGCGGGGGCGGAGGTCCTGGCTAAATTGTGGAAAAACTCAAGCGGGAGCCGTTGTTGTTGTAACTCGGGGTCCAGGGGCCCAGTTTGAGCATGACGACTTTCCCCGTCAACAAACAGGGTGCGAGCGTCGAGGGGGCACTTTGATTGAGAAAAAAAAAAATGCACCGGCGGGGGGGGATCAACCATCATTATTCTTCAGAAGTGAGAATTCAACCACGACAACAACCACAACAACAACAATCATTCTAAGACTGCTCGCTCCTATCTGACCGCGTGTCATTCACTATGCATATCCCAAACCCTGGATACCCGCCCTCTTCGTCTTCGATCGTACCCCCCTTGGGGGGTTATATTTCTTCCCGGCCACGTGTAATTGGAGAAGCGCGGGAGGCGCACCCGCAATCAGAGGCAGCGAGCTCTGGCACTTGTCGGTGAGACCCCATTTCACTTGTCGCGAGCAGATATCAGCGGCAATCCACACTGAGACCCCAGTTCATTAGCCATAATGCTGGGGTCACTGCGTGCAGGAAAGCGAAATACGGCAGTGGACAGTGTTGGCGCCCAGCGGCCCCGTGGGAGGTGAAATCGGAGACCGACGTCATCAATCACATTGCTGGGATTCGCGAGCGCGGGAATGTGGTCAGCTATATACAATAACGAAGCGCCATTACTACAGCGCCAGGATCTGCTTGTGCGAAAAGGGTAAGACTCAGCAGCAGGCGCTGGCGATGCTGCTCAGCGTGATGTCGAAGGCAACGCTCAAGGAGACGTGGGAGGTGAACTGGGGCCCGCCGTCGCCGACCACGTTGGGGTGAGAGCTCTGGCAATGTTCGGGGGCACATGGGAGACGATGCCCAAGCCAAACGTCACCAGCTGCAGCGCTGGAGCCGGCGCGTGCGCGGCAGGCCGGTTGTCCCAATGGGCTCTGGCGCTGCCCAGCGGGATGTTCAGGGCGAAGTTGGAACCCGATGGCATCGCCGAAGCCCGCTATCATCAGCTATAGTGCTGGATCAGCACGTGTGGGGAAGTCCTCAAATACAGCGATGGTGTGATAAAGATGGTTAGCGCGTGTGAAAAAGACGGGCAGCGGCTGGTGGTTCTGGTGTTCGGACAGCGAGGCCGGAGCCCAACGTTATCTCAGCTACAATGGTGGAGCCAGGCGCTCCCGCCTTGTGGGGGTTGGGCGACATCGCTATTGCATGCTCTTGCGATGTGCGCTGGCACCCATGGGTTGAGGCGTGCGCTTGGAAGGGGCGATATCAATTCGCCGGCCTAACAGGCCAGAAGCGTGCTAAGATCTCCGGCAACTGACTAATAATATGTCTAATTCGCGCGCGCGGGGCGGCCCCTGCTTTGGGGTCCCCGGAAGAAAAAAAACCCGGTCAAGTCCCGGTCAGGTTCCGGTCGACCCCCCCAAAGCGCTCCAAGAGCGCACTAACAGGGTTCCGAGACGTCCCCGAGTAACAACGCTCCAACAGCGCTCCAACAGGAGCGGGGGTTCTGAGAAAATTGCGACGAAGTCTCAAGCGGGAGCGCCGATCCTGAGTAAATTGTGAGGAAGTCTCAGGCTGAAGCGGGGGTCATGAGTAAATTGTAAATAAGTCTCAGGCAGGCAACAACGCAGTTTGAGGATCAAGACTTTCCCTGTCAAAAAACAGGGTGCGAGCGTCGAGGGGCGCACTTGGACTGAGAAAAAACAGTGTGCACCGGTGGGGGGGATCAACAATAATTATTCTTCGGAAGTGAGAATTCAACAACAACAGCAGCAGCAACAACAACAACAACAACAACGCAACAAACAGTACCCTCACCACGGATCGACTATTCAGCCACGCATCCAGGGACAAGGAAGGACCGCTCGGCCCCCTCCCTCTGCCATGCAGAGGCAGAGCTGGAGGCACGATGCCCGTACGCACCATTCGGGGAGACGTAAGACTCGGGTATGGGGGACCCGAGTTGGCCTGACGGGGCCATGATAAAAATGACGAGACCTCCTCTGAAATCTGACGCGGGCTCCCGCTGCAGACATCCCACGAAAACGGGGCCGCCAACATCCAGGACGCGCTCGTCAAAAACTGTCGGCAACCCGAGTTCCGGCTTACAGTCGAGGCGTTGACCTAAGGAAACCTTCAATAAGGAACGAGGCCCCTTTTTTCCCATAAGTTCAGCCTCGATTTCCCATGGAAACCTCGGAAAAAACCCGAGGCAAACTGTGAAACAGCCAAGGAACACCGAACCCCTCCCCAACGAGAAGGGTTCCTTCTTCAGCGCCCCCACTGCACTCGAGCCTTCTGCTCCCCCGAACCACAGCACATCAATGCACCATCCCCCCCCCATCCGGTCGTAGATCACCCGGCACAGAGATCTTCTTCGCGCCTCCGCGCTCCAAGACTCTCTCTCTCTTCGGGCCATGCCCCTCTCTCTGCGCACGTGGCCCCTCCCCGCGCCCTGCTGCTGCCCCGCCGCCTACTCCTGCTCATGCTGGCGCTCCCCTCCTCCTTCTCCTCCTCCTCCTATCCCCTGCTTGTGCCCAACCCGTCCCGCTTCCCCCACCCCTCCCGCTCCCCCCTCCGGATTGTTCCGGATCTTCCTGCCCCACTTCTCGCTACCCCTCCTTCGAATAAGCAAGCGCCGCTACCCAGGAGCTCTTTCTCTCTCTCTCTCTCTTTCCCTCTTTCTTTGTAGGTATTATTGTTGATTCCCCCTCTCTCATTCCTTCTTCTTTGTTTGTGCATATCTCTCTGTATGTTTTTTTTTTTTTCTCTCTCTCTCTCTCTCTCGACAGGTATATTAAAAATAATGTTCTTCATTTCGTTAAACGACAAACTCGCACCCTATCCACGTACCTCCTTCCACTACTGCACTCAGTGGGCCATTGGCAATCTATCCACATGCGCCACTAAGTAGGGCAAGGGTGACTTGAGGAGACCTGGACATCGTATTCCTCATTCCCTCCCACGATATCATGATTGTCCCAAAACTCGCTTCAATTCGCTGATGCGCTCAACGCAAAATCCAGCGGCGAATACAGCCTTCCGCACATTCCCTCCCCTCATGTGTTCTCCTTCTTCCTTCTTCCTCCCTCCCTCCTCCTGCCTCCCTCCTCCGTGGTCACATCTTCCCCCTTTTTCCTCCCTCATTCCACCTCCCTACTGCCTACCTCTTTGCTCCCGTCCTCCCTGCCATAATCCCTGCCGTTCCCCTTGCTTGGCGGCTCAGGCGTGGCTCCCAAAGGTCTGGGCCCCTTGCGGGGGACCGGCTTTTCATCCTGAATCGTGTTTTGAACGTCCCGGTGCCTGGAAAAGGACCCCCCGACCCTGATCACTGGATACTGGAATTTTCCGCGCGCGACCGACAAGATCGGTCGCTACAAATAGTGCTTCAAATTCCGGGATCGGTCAGGAACGATTTGTTTCAAAATCGGTCGCGACCGATTGGTCACGATCGGTCGCAATCGTTCGCAAACGGTCGCGGATCTTTCGCGCCGAGGGGGTAACTATAGAGAGGGGGAACAAACCTGCATCTGACAAACGTCTGACGCCAGACGTTTGTCAGATGGGAGTTGTCGCGAGTCAGATGTTTGTGCGAAAAATACCATACTCCACCTCCTCCTCACGCAAAAGCTGCGGATCTGACCTACGTCTGACGTCTGACGTTTGTCAGATGGCATCCTCCTCTTTCTCATTCCCCTCCCCCCCCGCCTCTCCTTCTGAAATCGGTCGCGGTCCGTCGCGGGGCGGTATCGGGGAGTCGAGACCGCGCCCGATTCTGGAACCGACCGCGATTGGCCGCGACCGAGGTGGAGTGCCAGTCGGTCGATCCCGATCGCGACTGGAAGAACCGGCAATCATGCAATGATCTGGGGAGGCCGGAATCGACGAACAAAAACTGTCCGTGAAGTCTGGGGGAGGTGAAAAAAAGCCCTGTCTGTGAAGTCTGGTTTTTTTTTTCACCCCCGCACTCTTGACCTCGTGCTGCCCTCTTCGCGCGCTGCACGGTACGCGCGTGGGACACCGCGGCCTCTTGGCCCAGACGAGGACCTCGAGTCCGAAACGCGTCGCCGGCTAAAACTGGTTGAGAACGGTAATGCGCCAAGGGGAACCCGGGAGGGAGTCGTCGGCTAGGCGTAAGAGTGACCCTGGGTAAGAGTGACCTTTGGTGCGCAGCTTCTGGGGGCGCGAGGGAGCCAAACCCAAGGGCGCGGGCCGCTTATATCGCATCGCGCTCGGCGATCGGGGGGAGCCCGAAGAGCCCGCACCAAAGGTCACTCCGGCAGCAAAGGAGGATGTGAAGGCAGGAAAACGAGGAGGAGGAGGAGGAGGCGAGGAGGAGGAGGAGGAGGAGGAGGAGGAGGAGCAGGAGGAGGGTGAGGAAGAGGAGGAGGAGGAGGAGGAGGAGGGGGAGGAAAAGGTGTCGTGTAGTCGAGGGAGGCGCGTCTGGGACCCGCTGCAGCAGGGCGCTCATACGCCATGGCCGAGGGCCCCGCACGCACATGCTCCGCTCCGGTGGCGCTGGCGCGCCAGCTGGCGGCCTGGGCCGCCGGCTTGAGCAGGGGCCAACCGCGCCAGCCAGAAATGTTCTGAGATTAGGTCGGGCCCGTCCCTCTACGAAGGGGCCCTGGAACACACACACACACACACACACACACACACACACACACACACACACACACACACACACACACACACACACACACACACACACACACACACACACACACACACACAAATACACACCAATAAAAAGGTTCCCCATAGTTTCCCGTATTTTCTGGGTTTTTGTCTTCTCCCCCACTTCTTATATTTTCCAATATTCTCTGGGGGATCGACGATTAACTGTGTCTGTGTGTCTTTTTCCCTCCTGACTCTACAGGGGGGATATTCAAAAAGTGATCAAACAAATAATATGGGGACTATTATTTGACGAACCGCATGCCGATGATAATAAAGCCCCCCCCTTTCCACGCTAGAGTTGATTATCCACGGCCAAGAAGAGTTTGGTCAGGGGCACGGGGCGCGGAGGCCGAACTTTTTTATCACTGTGAAAAGTTCACCATCGAGGTTAACTTCCTTCTTATGTTGAGATAGCAACATCAAGCGAAGCGAAGTCGTTTTCGAGGACGTCTCAAGCGAAACCAACAATTGTTTGAGGTAGCCTCAAGCGAAACGATCAAGTGTTCAAGGATGTCTCAAGAGGGAACCAACAATTCTTCGAGGATATCTCAAGCGAAGCGAGAGACTTGTCGATGAGAGACTTCCTCCTCCATCTCCTCCTCCTCCTCTCTCGCTTTCTTTTTTTGTTTTTCTCTCTCTCTCTCTCTTTCTATCTCTCGCTCTCTCTCTCTTTGTCTCTGTCTCTCTCTCTCTCTCTCTGTCTTTCTCCTTCTCCCCCTGGCCCCCTGAACTTTTTTTATCGCTGTGGTTTACTATCCACGGAAACCGAGGCACATGAGGCACCCTACACGAGCAGATGAAAATCTTAATTTCCATTGATTGCATACACATTAAATTTAATAGGTTTGGAACTTTGGCTTTTCTCCTCCTCCGCCTCCTCCTCCTCCTCGTCTCTCTCTCTCTCTCTCCTTCTGTCTGTCTATATTTCTCTACTTCTCTCTTTCTCTCTGTCGAATTATCTGTATCTTTATGTCTCTGTCTCCATCTGTCTTCCTCCTTCTCCCCCTGGCACCCTGAACTTTTGTTTTGTTTGTTTTGTTGTTCTTATCGCCGTGGTTTACTATCCACGAAAACCGAGGCACGTGAGCTACCACGGGCAGATGAAAATCTTAATTTCCATTGCTTGTTTACAAATTAAATTCAATAGGTTTGGAACTTTGGCGTTTCTCCTCCTCCTCCTCCTCCTCCTCCTCCTCTCTCTCTCTCTCTCTCCTTCTGTCTGTCTATCTTTCTCTATTTCTCTCTCTCTCTCTCTCTCTAAGTATCTGTATCTTTCTGTCTCTGTTTCTCTCTGTCTTCCTCCTTCTCCCCCTGGCACCCTGGACCTCGATCCTCGATCTTCGATTTTCGACCCTCGGACCTCGATCCTCGATCCTCGGACCTCGCCGCCGTCGATCCTCGGACCTCGATCCTCGACTCTGGGATCTCGATCCTCGATCCTCGGACTTCGATTCTCGATCCTCGATCCTCGGCTTTCGGCCCTCTTAATATCATCTCTTTCTCCTCCCACATGCTGGCCTCCGTTAGGCAACATTTATAATCCCCCCGCGACCCCGAACTTTATTATCCCTGTGGGATTATTCTCCGTGGCACAGGGTTGGGTTTGAAACTGTGGGGACTATGTTTCAAGTGTTCTGAGTTTCTCGCCCAACATCCCCCTGTACGGGGACAGGCCCGACTTCATTCTAAGAACATCTCGTGGAAACCACAACAGACTCTTAGAACACTACTTGGTGGGCCTACAGGCACGCCGGGACGCTTCGCCACTGCTCGACGGGTGCGCCTGCTCCCCCCCGCGGCGGCGTCGCCAGAGCCGCCGGGAGGGGCGCCACGGCGGGAGCCAGCAGCAGAGGCGCGGCTGGACTGAAGGGGCCCTGGGACACACAAAGAAGTACACACTAATAACAGGATTCCCCATATTTTCCGATGTTTTATGGGTTTTTGTCTTCCCCCCCACTTCCCATATTTTCCCATATTTTCCTGGGAGTCGACGATGAGTTGTGTCTGTCTGTTTTTTTCCCCTCCTGATGGACGGGGGCAAGGGCGCGCCGCGCACGGACCCACATCTGCGGCGATGCGGTGCGAGCAGTGCTCGGGGGTTGCTAGAGGTGCCCCTGGCCCAAGGCGCCCCCAGCTTCTCGCTCCACTTTGGGGGTTCCCGGGGCCCTCTGGGCCTCGTGAGGGGTGCCCTGTCAGGCCGCCTGGGCCACCCCGAGAATCCTGGGGGCACCTTGGGCCAGGGGTGCTTCTGGCAACAACCGAACTGCTCTCTTCTCTCCACTGCGACCGGAGCCCGTTGTCGGGCCCTCGGGGCCATGCAGAACGGCTGAGGGGCAGAAAGCTGCCCCAGGGGCCGCACAGTGACCAAAAAACCAGGCCGTCCATGGAGAGGGGTGTGTGCCTCACTCGGAGCCAGCCGCGCGCAGCGCCGCTGCGGCCCACGGTGCGGGCGCCGACCCGTGCGACGCAGGGGTCTGGGGTATCGCCAGGGGGGGCCAGCGTGTGGAGGAGGGCAGGGGTGCGCGACGACCGGCAGGGTCCACCGCCAAGTCCAGCTCGCCGAGGCGGCACAGCAGCCTCCCCTCCACGGGCGTGGGTTTGGACACGAGAGCGCCTTCGCGGGAGGAGCAGCGGGGGGCGGAGACAGGGGGTCACCGGGCGAGGCCGGGAGGCGGGGTGCGGCCTCGGGGAGCTGCTGTGCCCCTTCTTCCCCCTGCCTGGAGGCCAGGCGCGTCTTCGCTGGTAGCAGCAGAGCAGCGGACGGCAATGCCACAAGAGCGACATGTGCCGCTGCCGGCACCGCGCACCTCGCAACGAGCGGAGCCAGCGCGGCGGCAGCAGCAGCTTTCGCCCTCGTTGGAGATCTTGGGCTAAGCTCGGCCCGGGGCTTGCATTCGACGTGATTGCGAAGGTGGACGCAGGAGCGCGCCGGACGGAGGCGTTCGAGAAGCAGCCGCAAGCAGTCGAGGTGCGGGTGCTCTCGCTGCCGAACAGTGTGCTTTGCCCAGCCTTGGTGCCCTTTGCTGGTCCCGTCCACTGCTGTTGAAGCGTCGGTCGACAGGAGGATCCCAAGCACCCTCGCTGGGTGGCAAAAAGCAACTCGTTTTGCCAATGGTCGGCCTCTGGGGGTCCCAGAACCGGCACAAAACGACTCAGGACGCCAAGGCAGACTGTGGGCAAAGTGTCGGGACGTCCAGGGCCCCTGTGTTGAGCAAGCAAGACATCGGCGTTGGGATCGACAAGATGATTGAGACCAAGATGGGGAAGTAACGTCGGACCCAGGACAGAAGAGCAGTTGAGCAAGCAAGACATCGGCGTTGGGATCGACAAGATGATTGAGACCAAGATGGGGAAGTAACGTCGGACCCAGGACAGAAGAGCAGCTTCAAGAACACGAGACCCTCCGCCGGCCAAGACACACAGAACGTTCAAGGGCATCCTCCCCGAGGATGCACAAGAGCGTCCCGCGAGCCCAAAGAACATCAGGGTACCCTCCCCGAGCCGACCTTGATCTTATAAGTCGGTCCGGCCGTACAGCACCGAGGAATGCGGACGCAGCGGCGAAGACTGGGCCCCTGGCGTAGAGGCTGCGCAGAGCAAAGGCGGCAACGAGAGGATGGGCGTCGTCGCCGACATCGTTGACGAGCAATGTGTGCTCGGGGAATGCACCGTCGTTGAGAGGCAGGGCGCCGGAAGGGCAATCGTCTATCGTCGCGCCGTGCTCGAGGGCGTCATGCCGTCTGGTGACGCCGAACCGAGGGCTGCGCATCAGGCTGGCCGACCTACAGGCCTGGCTCGCCGAGGGCGGCAGAGCACTGGCAGCCCTGTGTGAGATCGTTGACGATTTCTTGGTGGCCGTGAGGGCCTGGGCGGCTCGGCGCGAGGCTGGCTGGGGCGGAGGGGCTTCCGGAGGCCGACAGGGTCTCGAGTCGCTCACGAAGTTTGTTCCCGATCTACAGGCGCATCGCTGAGGCTGAGGCACATCGCTGAAGCTTATCCAGATCTACAGGCGGATCGCTGAGGCTGAGGCACATCGCTGAAGTTTATCCAGATCTACAGCCACATCGCTGAGGCTGAGGGTCTGGGCAACCCGCGGGCTCGCTTGGCACCGCGAGGCCGGGTCGCAAAGGGGTCGGTGGTCGATGGGCCGGGGCCGGAGCGGCAAGCGAAGGGTGATTTGCCTCGTGAGGTGCCGGCCTGGCTGAGCGGGCGAGCGTGAGTGGGCTTGGGAGGAGGAGGAGGAGGAGGAGGAGGAGGAGGAGGAGGAGGAGGAGGAGGAGGAGGAGGAGTCAGAGGAGGAGCCAGAGGAGAAGTCAGAGGAGGAGTCAGAGGAGAAGTCAGAGGAGGAGTCAGAGGAGGAGGAGGAGGAGGAGGAAGAGGAGGAGGAGGAGGAGGAGGAAGTGGGGCGCATCCCCCCTCCCTTCGCCCTCGCCTCCTTGCCTCCTCGGCCTTTTCCGGTCCTCCGAATGCTCTGCGGGAGAACCTGTGCCGTCGGCACCCCTCCTTCTCTCCTCTCTGCTCCCTCCCGCTTCCGTTCTCCTGCCTTTTTGGCTCCTGCGCTGCCCTCGTCAGGCCTCCTCTTCCTCTCCTCCCTCGTCTCCCCTCCCTCGTCCCTCCTCTCCCCTTCCGCTTCATCCTTCATTCCTCCGTCCTCCCTTCTTCCCCCTGCATTCTCCCACCTCCTCCTTCCCCCCCCTCTGGTCTCTCCCGTCGCGCTCCCTCCCCGCCCGTCCTCTCATCCCGTCGAGCGGGGGCGCCCCAGCATGGATGTCTTCCCTCTTGGCTATCTCCTCGGTCTCGGTCAGGATCGTCTGGTCGGTGGGCGGGGTGCGTGGCCAAAATCCATTCACCAATTTCTCCACCGCTTGCATGTGGCATGCGCGACGGATGCGCTACACTGCAGCCCAGCTGCTGTCAATGCTTGAGCTCACGCTTCATCACCATCCGCACCGAGTTCGCATCACCATCTAAAGCGCTGCTATTCGGAATGCGTGTTCACATAAGACCAATCCTACTTTAGCGCTACGAGCATGGGAGACCATGCTAGGATCATTGGGACATGTGGAACAAACACCCAGCTGAGCTGACGCAATTCTGGCCGAACTAAAAGCAACATGCAAGCGGCGGCTAATCGAGAATGCTATACTCGAGGGTCGAGCTGAAACCCAACAAACCCTCAGGGGGGAGGTGGTTTAGAATTGTTCCTCTTCCACTCCCTCTTCTTTCCCTTCGCGTAGGGGTGCACCCCTCCCCCCCTGCCCCATCCCGTGGACGTGTATGGGAGGTTTCGTGAGGGGTTGGAGCGTCCAAGATGGCCCAAGAGGGCTCCAAGAGAACCTCAAAAAACCTAATCTGACCTCCAAGATAGCTCAATGTTGCTTCCAGCATGCCCCCAAAGGCTCCATGATCGCTCCTGGATGGCTCCAAGTGGCCACGGAGCCCCCCAAGGAAGCCACCAGGAGGCCAACACCTGTCACCAACCTGGGGAAAGGACGTGCATGTTGCGCTCGCGCCTTTTCGATCTCGACGGCCTCTCGAGGCGTCAATGTGGCTTCATGGAAGGCCCCAGAAGGCCCCAGGAGGAGCCAACGACGGCCCCCAGAGCGCCCAAGAGTGAAGGGGCCCCAGGACACACAAATAAATACACACAAATAAACATATTCACCATATTTTCCCATATTTTCTGGGTTTTTGTCTTCCCCCCAAATCCCATATTTTCAATATTTTCTGGGGAATCGACGATTAAGTCTGCCTTTGTGTTTCTTTCCCTCCTGAAAGAGCGCCACAGGAGGGGCCCAAGAGGCGATGTTAGGGGCTCTGGGGCGGCGAGGCTAACCGAGGTCCCCTGTCGTTGATCGATCTCCTCCCAGGTGGCCCCAAGTGTGTTCCCAGGGCTCACAAGACTGCCCCAAAGGGGCCCCAACATGCGCTAAGAAGGCCCCCAAAAAAAACCCACGAGGTCCCCAAGAAGAGGCTCCCAAAAGGCCCCCAAGATGCCCCCAAGAGGCTCCCCCGAAGCACCCAAGACGCTCCAAAAGGCCCCCCCAGGACCGCCATGAGACCCACGAAGCCCTTAAGCGACATCCGAAAAGACTCCGAGCAGCATCCAACAGGCCTCTGGCCGTCCTGCTCGCCCTCCTCCTACTTCTTCTCCTGCTCCACATAATTCGCCTGCTTTTCCGTCTCCGTCGTCCCTTCGCCATCATTCCCCCGTCCCCTCCCCCTCCTCCTCCGATTTCTCCTCAATCCTTCCCCTCTTGGGGTACGACGGCTTCCCCTGCCTTTGATTACACGGCATGCTCCTCCACACCCCCCACCAGGGCAACTCGCCTCGGCATCGTTTCTGGATGGGCTGGTGGGGTTACGCGAAACGCCTAGACCTGAATTGAAACAGGGGGTGTTCAAACATTGGGATTAAGTCGGATCGGCTGTCTCAATCGATCGCACGCTGATGCCAGCTGCGAGGCTGGAATCAAACAGCAAGCACCCAGCTGGTGGTGATCTGGTTCAACGTGAGGAAAACTGTGGGCAATGGTCCACGCGAGCGGAGCAATAGTTACTGGGTTGGGCTGGCTTCCAGCTCAGAATGCGCGAGGGCGCCGGGAAGGTGCAAGACGGCCAACAAGTCAACAACAAACCACCACATAAATAAACATATACTACTCCGACGGTAGGACCCCACATGAGAATCTGTTTAGCTCCCCCTTAGCCCTTCCCTCCTCCCTCTGGCGGACACTCCCCTCTCGCCTTCTGCACTTCCCTCTCCTCCTCCTTCTATGTATCATCACCCTTCCCCTCCTCTTCCTCCTCTCCTCCTCCTCCACCTCCTCTTCATCATCACCCTCTCCACGTACCCCTTCCCTCCTCCTCATCCTCCGCCTGCCTCTTCCCCATGTGCACCTCCCCGCCCCCCTGGTCGGGGCAAGCGAATCGATGTTCCTCGGCGCCCTCGCCGCCGCGGCAATCAGGCGCGCGTTTGCCGACGGCTGGATCGCGAAGCCGATGGGGCAACCCCGCGAGCCGCTGGGGCGCGAGAGCAAGCCGTCGGGGCAAACCCGCAGGCACCGAGCTAATCGCGGCCGCGCTCAGGCGGGAGGCAGCGCGAAGCCCAGCTCTGGCGCGAGCTGCTGCGCCTCGGCCCTGGGGCCCACCGCTCTCTTGTCGAACCCCTGGAACGCCTTCCGCAGGGGCGCCAGCGGCCCGCGCTCCAGGAACTCCCGCGCGGGCGGCCGCAGGATCAGCATGTTCCGCACGCGCGCGGCGCGGGAGAACGTGACGTAGAGGTGCAGCCACCACTGATCGTCCGACGTGCCCGCGCGGCCAGCGTCCTCATCCCTGGCGCAGTCGATGGTGACGCCCTCGCGCAGCGTCTGGCCCTGCGACAGCGTGGAGGTCAGGTAGGGCGCGTGCGCCAGCGTGAACCCCGAGCGGCGCACAGTGTGCGCCCCCGGGCTCTGCCACGTGAGCTCCTGCTCGCTGGGCCTAAACATGAGCAAGCTCCTCGCCCGCGCCTCGGCCTCGCCGTCGTCGCCAGCGCCATCGGCGCGCTGCTGCAGCACCTCGGCGACCTCCTTGTATATCGGGGACTCCTGGAAACCGCGCGCCTGCAGCCAGATCCCCTGCGGTAGGTAGCGGGGGCGGAGGAGCTGGTCCGGCGCGCGCTCCTCGTAGTCCCGCTCGTCGTCTGCGTGAAACTCGAAGGACACGATGGTGGCCCGTTGCTCCTGCACGAGCCCCAACTTCTTCTTCAGCTCCTCCTGCACGGCCGTGAACCGGACCTCCATGCCGACGTGTGCCGGTAAGACGCCGTGGATGTCCCTGGTCTTAGGCATGTTCGGAACGTTCATGAGGCGCCGGCCTGCGTCTGGGTCGCCTTGAACCGTGCCGCACTCGTCTACGGCCTGCAGGAAAACGAGGGGGACGCCGAGGCGCCGCGCGTCGCGACGAGCGCGCGTGTTGATCCGCCTCGCCAGCGTCTCCCAGTAAATGCCCATGCCGTAGCCGAGCCGAAAGTTGTCGTGCTGGTGCCGAGGGTCCAGGACGCCGTGGCTGTCCGAGGCCAATGTCTTCTCCCAGGCAGACCAGACCTCTGGTGGGAAGCGCTTGCCCTCGCGCGTGCAGCCCAAGAACGTGATCAGAGGGTCCCAGACGCAAGGGTTCCCACCCCCGGCCCGGACGCAAGGGTTCCCCCCTGCGCCCGATTCGGCTGACGATGGGTTGCCACCGCCAGCCCGGAGACAAGGGGTTACCCCTGCCCCCGATTCGGCCGAGGATGGGTTACCACCCCCGGCCCGGACGCAAGGGGCTACCCCTGCGCCCGATTCGGCCGCCGATGGGTTACCACCGGCGGCCGGGAGACAAAGGGTTACCCCTGCCCCCGATTCGGCCGAGGATGGGTTATCACCCCCGGCCCGGACGCAAGGGGCTAATTACCCTTGCGCCCGGCCGCCGCTTCGGCCGAGGATAATTTACCACCCCCGGCCCGGTCGCAAGGGTTTCCCCCTGCGCCCGGCCGCCGTCGTCCTCCTCAATTCCTGTTCCTCGTCCTCGTCCTCCTCCTCCTCCTCCGCCTCCTCCTCCTCCTCCTCCTCCTCCTCCTCCTCCTCCTCCTCCTCCTCCTCCTCCTCATGAGCACAACAATGACGACAGGTACGAAAACCCGAGGACTCGTGTAGCTGCGGGACCCACCATCATGATGCGTGCCCGACGACGAGGCTCCATCATTCCCGATCGTGCCGCCAGTGGGATGAGGCACCTCCGTGCGAGTTCCCCTTCGATCCTCAAAATCGGTCCTAAAATCGGTCCTCAGACCTCCAAGTGACGACAGTTAGTAGAATCCGATGACCCGCCTCGGATTCGAACATGATCTGCGGGCCCCATAAGGAGGGGTTCCCGCCTGAGACTTCCTCGCAATTCACTCACAGACGAGGCTCCCGCTCGATACTTCCTTCATATTCAAGCCTGAAGAGCCCAAAAGTGACAACAGTTACACGTTGCGGATGACCCGCTCGGATTAGTAACATGATCTGCGGGTCCCATAAGGAGGGGGCTCCCGCCTGAGATGTCCTCGCAATTTAGTCGCAGACGAGGCTCCCGCTCGATACTTCCTTCATATTCAAGCCTGAAGCGCCCAAAAGTGACGACAGTTACACGTTGCGGATGACCCGCTCGGATTAGTAACGTGATCTGCGGGCCCCATAGGGAGGGGGCTCCCGCCCGAGACTTCCTCACAATTCACTCACAGACGAGGCTCCCGCCTGAGACTTCTTTGCAATTCGCTCACAGACGAGTGAGTGATGACGAAGTGATGAGTGAGTGGGTGACGAAGGGGATTATGCTGATGATGATGAGTGATGATGATGATGCTGATGGTGATGATGATGGTGGGCGATCGCATGACGATAACGTTGATGATGATAATGATGATGATTATGATGATGATGATGATGATGATGAGTGATGAGTGGGTGATGATGTAGGTGTGCTCTGGTTCTGGTTCCTGCGCGGGGTGTCCAGAGAAAACAAGAACCCCACTTTGGATGTGGGGAAAAAAACAAGAAACGGCCCAGTAGGGCCTCAATCAAGAGGCCCCCAGGATCTGCCTAAAGGGCTACATGGGGACAGAAACGCTGACCGACATCCAACGCGAAACAGGAGCGAGGCGGCCGCAGCTAGCGTTCGAACTCCATGGGGCTCTCGAAGGGCCTGTGCTGGTCGTCCAAAGGGGCTCAGGAGGGCACCAGAAAAAAGGGCCCGGAGACGGCCTCGCATGGTTCCAAGATAACTTTGATACTGTCAACGGGACCTCGAA